TTACCTGCTTACCAACAACTTTCAAATTGCTAACTGGTATGGTAGCTGATGCAGTCCAACAACATGTGGATGAAAACAAGCTCTTTCCATCTGAGTAGAAAGGAAACCACCCAAACAGCAGAGGGACAAAAGATCAGCTCCTAATTGACAAGATGATTTTGGAAAACTAGAAGGCATTTGGATTGATTATAAGAAGGCATTCGACTCCTGCCACATATTTGGATAATCAAGTTTCCAGAAATAACAGTAGAAACATCAGAAGCTTTGTGCAAAGATCAGTGGCACAATGGAAGACAAAGTTGCTGGTCAATGGTGATAGACAGGGAGAGGTTAACATCAAGAGAGGAATCTTTCAAGGAGACTCACTATCAACACTACTTTTTGTCATTGCGCTGATTCCTCTGTCAACAATACTGAACAAGTCAGGCCATGGCTATCAAACATCAGAAATATCTGCCAGGTTATCCCACTTCCTTTACATTGACAATCTGAAGCTGTATGGAAAAACACTACCTGAAATAGAATCGCTGCTCAACGCTGTCCAAATATACAGCCAAGATATTGCAGAGGAGTTTGGACTGGACAAATGTGCCACCCTGACCGTGAGCAGGGGGAAAATAATGAAAACTGAAGGAATCAAGATGCCCAATGGAAATAAATCAAGAGTGTGGATGAAGATCACTACAAATACCTGGGCATCTTTCAAACTGACAACATCAAGCACATTGAAGTCAAGAAGAAGGTTAGTAGTGAATATATCATGAGAGTGAAGAAGTTCTTAAAGTCCAAACTCAGTGGAGGAAATACCATCAAGGCAATTTAACACCTGGACAATTCCAGTCATTAGATATACAGCTGGAATAGTGGACTGGACTCAAGCTGAACTAAAAGCCCTGGATAGGAAGACCAGAAAAATAGTGACAATGAATCACGCTCTTCATCCACACAACAATGTTGACAGACTCTACTTACCAAGGAGCATAGATGGGCATGGAATATTACAAGTACACCAGACAGTTGAAGAAGAAAAAAGAGCTTTGGAAGAATATCTGAAGGACAGTGAAGAAGAAGTTAGTACACCATGAAGGCTTACTGAATACCAAAGAAACCAAACTGGCCTACAAGAAAGACCAAACGAAGAACA